CGCGTCGTGTTTTTTAGAACACAGGATGTCCGGGTTTAACGACCCTGGCACCTGGCAACCCTTCTGGCGCGGCATATAATTACCCGCGAGGCAACACGGCCTGTTGTAACGATGTGCATGCACATCTCTCCTGTCGGCGGATAGAGAACCTGAGAACACACCGCGTGGAATATCATCGTCACGGTCTCAGACCGCGAGGAATCCCACTGTCGTTTTCTTTTCTATTCTCTGGATGGCGGCATGATCGATAGCCTGACCCCGATTGTCGCACGGCTCGTAGAGACCAACGATCGAAAAACATCGTAACCTCCGTGCATAGACACCGACCACATTCCCAGACGACTCTGATTCGCGACTCTTCGCACCCACCGCTACGGTTTCTCGAGATATGGCTACGACTTCTCGAGAGTTGGCCACGATCCAACTCGGATCCAAATTCGATTTCGATCGAAGTTGCAGCGGATCGCCAAGGGGAGAGGAGGGGGGAGAGCCGTTCCCTCCATCGATTCGTTCGATTAAGGGGGATTAAGGTGTATACGTGTACAACTCGAAATCTATCGGGTTTCGTGACTCGAGAGGGAGGGAGGAGGGAGGGAGATCCAGTGGAATTACGAATAAATGAAAAATGAATTTAACCTAGAAACTATTCGGTCTATCTAGCGCACGGTGTACATATTATAAGATATATAGTCTAGGTCTATAGTTGAAAACTGCTTTCGAAAAAATAGGTCGTAATGCGGTTAACCGATACGGTTACCCTTGAGAGTATCGGCTCCTCGATATGAAATTTTCACCAATCTTCCCCCCCCCCTCCTCCCCCCTATTTTGCGCGGATCTGCCCGCCGAGTTTCATTTCCGTTTCAAGATCAGGCAATCAGGTTTCCGGGACGTCCGAATTTTGGCTCGATTCGAGAGAAAGAAAGGATACTCCGACATACGCGAGTAATCGATTATTATCGATCGATCGTATCGTATTTTTATTATTTTGTGTGGATCGCGTCTTCGTCTTTAGGAGAGTAAGAAGCGTTTAGAGCAAAAGTTTATCGACGAGTTTGTTAACCAACCGGTAGAATTAAGCGGATTTTCATGGAAACAGGATCGAGAGTTATCCTTTTTGCCGCTTTTTTTTTTATTTTTCTTTTTCGTGTCGTGTCGCCATCGCCACGGGATCGATATTTTTAATTAACCCTTTGTCATCAGATTATTTCCAGATTTATTTTATACGGGGCGATGTTTTCGTCGTAGAATTTATATATTAATATTATTAATCCATTTTATTTGGTTCAACGATTCTAGGTTATATACGTGTATATATATTTCTTGAATTCGTAAGATAGATTGTATCGATGAAACTTGGGAGGGGAGGGGGGGGGGGGGAACAAATCTAACGTTATAAATACGAAACAAACGAACGATTGAATGAAAATTAGAGAGGCACGAGCGTTAAAATTAAAAAAAAAAAAAAAGAAAAGAAAGAAAAATTGGCTTTTCCAATATCCAATCCTCCACTCTACAAGATACAAGAAATATTTGTCCGGCTGACGTTCTTGTGGAAAGGGTTAATTTCGTGAAATCGTATCGGGGACGAGCCCCGACTTTTAAATATTCACAAAACACGGGCGTCTATTCATTTAATAACAATGGCCGGGGAGTCAAGCTGTCTGCGTCAGGGATCATCGGTCTCGGCCACTCGAAATCGGTTATTTTACGAAAAAGACGACCTCACCTGCCACGAGCAAAGCGTTACATCGAACAGCAATCGATATTTAACCTCCCACCGGCGGCGATCGCGAAAACGAACAACAAGGAAGCGGGCGCAACACCGTCATAAAACAAACCACAACATTGTAGCGCGATTGACGTTCCATTCTGATCGTCTCTATCCTTCATATTTCAATCCGTATCGGTATTTCTACCCACGTCGTCGTCGTCGTTCGTGCACGTCTTTTAAAAACAAAAAAAGAAAAAAAAAAGAGGAACAATAAATAAAGCGCGACCAAACGTCAACCATTACCGCACGGTAGAAAAGAAGAAGATTTTTCATCTCCAGTTGCAATCACGATAAAAAAAAAAGAAAAAAAAAAAAAAANAAAAAAAAAAGGAAACAGAGCCTCCCTCCCTCTCTTCGAGAAGAGAGAAGAAAGAAAATTTCGATTTTCTCGGAAGGAGATCGAATCGTCGAGCACCACCTGGATGCAGGTGGCGGCCTGGGACAACGAGGAGGCAACAACAGCTGTTCCTCGCATTTCCTCCGCGGGATTTCTCTCTCTCTCTCTCTCTCTCTCTGCTTCTCAACGTCCTTCGGTATCCAAGTTTTTCGAATAAAAATCGGGGATGGTGAAAAAACACGTATATACGCGTCAAAACATGGGTGGAGGCAACCCCTCCCCACGTCAGGTCGACGTCTCTTCTTTTTTTCCTTTCTCTCTCTCTCTCGATCCCGGGGTGTCTCAAAGAGTGCGCGCATTCGGTCGCGCGTCGGCTTTTGTTTTCCGACGCGATGACGCGGCGCGCGAGATCACCCTCGCCCCTCTCTCTGCTCCTCCTTCTCCTCCTCCTCCTCCTCCTCGACGCCGGTTTCCCGCGCGACGCGCGCGGCGACCGAGCCTCCTCCTCCTCCTCCTGCTCCTCTCCCCCGCGTGCAGGCCGAAAAGAAACGAGGAGAAAAAGGCCGCGCGCGTCGGCGTCGCTCGGTGGCGGCATTCTAAATTTAGGAGGAAGTATTGATTTTACAATTTGGACCCCTCCCAAAGTAAAAAATAAACCAAGCCAAACGTACTCTACTTTGATAGAGTGCCTCTCCTCTGCGCGGCTCGTTTCGACGCACGGCCCGAGACGGAGATACAAAAAGGGAAACATGGAGGGGGAGGGGGGTGGGTGGCGGGCGGCGAGCCGCCGAGGGTAGGGGTGAAACAGCCCCGCGAATCGGGTGGGAGGGAAGAAAAGAAGAAGATAGCGATTGCCAGGGAAAGTGAGAGAGAGAGGGTGGGGGGGGGAAGGGGAGGGAAGCGAGGCGAGGCCGAAGGGGCGAAACCGAACCGCTTCGAGGAGAGGAGAGGAGGAGGAGGAGGAAGAAGAAGAAGAAGAAGAGGAAAAAAAAGAAAGGTGGAGAAGGGGAGAGAGAACGGAGGAGGGTGTCGGCTGGGGCCGCCGAAGGAGAATGTTAGAGGGGAGAGGGGGAGGGAAGAGTGGCGAAATACCGTAGTTCCAGCCTGGTAAGAAACAAAGAACAGAAAATTGATCGTTTGTTAAGTTTTATGTTCCCCGGGGGCAGGCGAGGGTGGTGGTGGTGGTGGTGGTGGTGGTGGTGGTGGTCTTGCTTGCTTGCCCCTCTCTTCCCTCCTCCTGTGTGCGTGTGTGCGTGGTGTGGGTGGGTGTATGCGCGCCTCTCGCGTCGCGCAATAAGAATCGAATCGAGGAAATTCTGGTGTGCCGGTCGTGAAGGAAGATGCCGAGGGAACAAACGCGAGGGAAAAAACAAACGTGAGGAAAAGAGTGGACGCGGGGAGGAGGAGCGGAGGAGGAGAATGGATGGCCGGGCCGATAGAGAGACACGTGTACAGGGGAGGAAACGAAGGAAGGGGTTGAAATGGACGAACCGGCATCGTGGAAGTCAATGGAAGCTGGACGAGATTGCCTTCGTTTCCCCCGTTGTCGTCTGCTCGCCCGCTTTTTTCCACAGAGGATGAAGTTTAATTACGGGGAAACGCGCGTTTATCGAGCTTACCCGCTTGTTTCTCTTTTCTTTTTTCTTTTTTTCTTCCCGCCCCCTTTCCTCCTCTTCTCTCGCTTCTCCTTCTTCTTTTCTTTTTTTTTTTTTTTTCTTGCAAAATCTTTCGGAAAATTGCTCTGTTTACCGGGCTCGAACGATCCGTTTGCGCCGGTGAGCGCGCTGCTTTCTCTCGAAACGCGATTTCGGGCAGACGTTTTCTCTCTCTCTCTCTCCTCTCCTCCTCTGGTTTAAGGGCACAAAGGGCGAGAAAAAGGGAAAATAGTGGTAAACTGCATATACATTGTAGCAATTTAAGCGAGCAAAGCAAAGCGGCGTGGAAATGGAAAGTGAAAATGGAGTACTATGCGTTTTTCGACGAGATGATACAATACGTCTGTAAACGCGTTAAACGACGCAGAGGGGGCGAGCGAGAGAGAGAGAGAGAGAGAGATCTGAAACGTTTCGAAGAGTAAAATAGCTGAAACGAAGCGTGCAGCTCGGGAAAAGGGACTTTAAAGCGAATAGGAGACTATCGGGATCCAACGAAGGGCAATGTTGTCGGTGATAAAAGGCCATCGATGGACCGGAACGATTATCCTTTCCATCTCTGTCGCCGGATATTTCAACGCGCGAATCATCCCCGCGATCGCGTGTATTTTCAGAAATGAAAATGCCAAATTTACGCGCCATCTGATGTTTTCATCCGTTCGTAAATTTTTCCTCTCTTTTTTCCAAACTTCTTTCTATCTATCACCGACGCGACGAAAATTATAAATATACAAATATAAACATTTATGTTTATATTTAATCATTATATCATTAATGCGACACGATATCCACGTCAAATATTTACGTTTATTACATCTGTGTCCGAATATCAATGGATCTCCTCTATAACGTTATTTTGAACTCGTCAATAATTGTATCTATCCACGAGAGAAAATATCCGTCCGTGCCTTTATATAATTAACTCGGGTTGCTCGTAAATTCTAGTTCCTACATCTCCATATATACCAAAACATATAAATATTCGTCGAATAAACAATTAAAATGACCAACTAAAAGAAAGAAAGAAAGAAAGAAAGAAATTAGAGACGAGAAGAACGATGTAAGTAAATTCGATGTAAATCGAAAATTTCCTCTCGAAATCGAGCTAATCTCTTCCCGAGTTCAACGAGAAGGAGAAAGACACAGAGAGAGAGAGAGTACCGGCGGAAATTCGATCGGTGCAGCCACCGTCCACGTGGGTAGAATTCGGTGGAAGGGTTGAAAACGTGTCTCTGTTTACCTTGTGCGCTCTGAGAGTTTTGCCCTCGCAGGCCAGAGTGACGTCGCAATAAGCTTGCCGCTCGAGCAGCTGTGAGAACATGGTCTGTAGATTGCTGTGATGGTATTTCCATCGTAGGCAATACTGTTGAGGGAACATGTTGGAGGATGACGTCGCGGGAGGTGTCGTTACTGAACTGCCTCGTTGCTGAAGCATGCGCGGACCTGGCGATTCAACCAACCGTTCGCCGCTTAGATCCCCTTCGTTCCTCTTCGCCTCACCTTAATCCCTCTCGGCCTTCCTTCTTCCCCCACTCTGCAACATTAGTAGTAGCGTCTCGGGTCAGCCAGATCAACTTCTCGCGATTTCGTCTCGATCCGAGAAATTAATTCGCTTCGACCCACGTATACATATTCCCTAATAAGAAATATATCGTAATCGTTCAGAAATTTCATTTTAGATTCGAAAACGAATTTTAATTTAATCGGTCAGGTTGGGATGATCGCGGATTTTTTTAATGATTTTCAGGAACACGCGAGTGAGAAAAAAAGTATATATATATATATATATCTCGTGACTGGTAATATCGCTAATTTAAATCTTTCCTTCAAACTGGAAAGAACGAATTCTTGGAAATCTGCGGGTCACGAGATACATTTCCAGGAATTCGAGAGCCGAGAGCTTCTTTTTCCAAACGAGAAATGATAAGAAAAAAAAAAAAAAAAAACGAAGAGATAGGCGCAGTGGTAATTAGCGCAAGGATACGCGGGAACAGAAAAATCTTGATAGAAAAAAATTATTTTAATTGCTCGACTATCGTCGGAGGGGGAGAGAGCAGCCGTTTCTCTCACGAGAGGAGCACAAAAGAGGTTTACGATTCAATTCATTTGGCGGTGATACTTTTCGAGTTCTCACGACACCGGCTCTAATCAGCCATTAATTACGTGATTAAGTTTGAAAATTACGTTTGAAAATTGCGAATGATTCGCGGGGCCACCGGTAGTTTACGTTTCCTGTTACACGGGATAGATTGCACGAGAACGTTTCCGGAACGTCTAAAAGAGGCGGCCGCTCGCAATTTCCAGTTCTTCGACCCAACTTGGGCTCTACCTTCATCCGCGCGATGTAAATAAATACGCAGGCAGAATTAAAATTATCCTCTCTTTCGATTTTTGTTATTATTGTATTCTCTGAATTCCGAATTAGACGAATATCGTCGTTACGTTTTTTATTTTTCAAAATATTTTATCTAAATATTTTGAAGAAAATATTTATGTATCTTATGTATTGTTTGGAGGCCAAGTGGATGAAAGATAAAAATTTCTAGAATCGAGTCTATCATAGATAGAATTACTACTGGTAGAACGTAGAATATTTTTATCCTCGGTGTGTGTTTGTCGTACGTGGAAAAAGAGAAGAAAAAAAAAAAAAGAAACATTCTCGAGAACATTCGCACCTTTATATCCCATAATTGAAGAAAGGAAGAAAACTCGTTTTAGCAATGAATGCTTACGGGTATCGGTCGATGCAGAGTCAGTCTTTGGGCTCGTTCTCGAAGTGAAACCAACCCGGCTCCCTGTCAACCGGACGAATGGTTCCAAGACGATGGCCTTCGAAGCATTTACGCGCGAGTTTGAACGTCCACCTCGATCACGATTGTCCCTCACGATGCTGAGTCTCACGTGTTTCCCCTGTAACACACGATAGAGGTATTGGTCAGACAAACATCGAGCCGATTCGAATTCCAGTTTGTTCAGAATTCACTTTGTTCAAAAATTTGTGTCAGAATTAAATGTTGATCATTTAGGGGATTTGGGGAAATATCTGGGAAAGAGAAAAATAATTGGGAAAGGGAAAATGGTTCGTATGGTTTCTTTTCTTTTTATAGAATTATAAATATTTACGATCCTACGAAAATGAAAATCTTGATGCGAACTTTTGTCACGTTCGAATTTTAATTAATCAATTTATATTGAATAAGACAAGCGTGTGGAAAATACTTTATTTATATCGTTTAATTTTATCCGTTTATGGCTTGATGGTCTTTCTGTCATTTTCTTTTTGATCATCAACATGATTTTGTTTACGAAAATTTTCAAATTTCAAGAAAAGTGTAATGAATTATACCGTTCCCGTTCTCACTCGTGTTTCGTGTTTGTATCCTATCGGATTATTATCGATCCAGTGAGCAGAGAAGGATAATATTTTAGAAATATTATACAACGGACAACTAGTTACATTTGTAAACAAGGTCAAATAGGACACACGCTTGTCTTTGAGTCGCGATCCTGAAACAACTTGCGACAGCCTTTTCCTCGATGCGTTAAAAATTAAAGTTAGAATACGATTAGATAAAAGTAGAAATAAAAATAGAGCGTTGCCATAAAAATCCTCCACGCGCAGACGATCGATCTTTAATTCGTCCAATCCGAAATATCGAACTCTCTTAATCTTATACAATTCCAAGAGAGATGATCCTCCGCACAATTGAATAATAATATTTCCTCTTAATAATAAAAAAATTCTTCTTACATTCAAACAAATATTATTAAATAAGATTGCTCGATATCGATATAGCTTCGTATAGTTTCAAATACGCTCGATCGATTTATAAACTTGCTAAAAATTGTAATCACGATTACAATTAGAAGATTGGAATCCTGTCTGAATCATTTAGATTTCGTTTACATATACCCTTTATCGTATTTCTACCGGGTTTTTGATCAGTTCGACGCGATTAGATTCGATTCGAGCCCAGTCGATAACTAGTTTCCCGATGATAGAAACGTGGTTGTGGCTGTTTAATTTACAACCGGTCTCGGTTGAGCCGGAGTGGCCACTTTTATGAAGCAATTTGCCGCGATGCATCCCCCATCAGCTGTCTCGTAGGAAAGAAAATAAGAAATTCCGGTGTCGGGGAATGTAAAACGAACGAACGATATACTTCCTACCGTGTCAACGATTGTTTGTCTCGAAACAACGTCTGAAAGCTGATAATTACTAGATATTAGATCGGTGCTGTCGGTGTGTAAGCTGGTTATCGATCGTCTTTTCGCTCTTTGCTATTTGGACGGCCTAAAGGGAAGCGCGCAGTATTGAAAACAATATCGGTTAAATGTACACGGTCGATAATATTGCCGATATAATTTTAACGATACTTTTAATTCGCTTCTGGGATAATAATCGACGACTATCGATGCCATTATCAATTGCACCAACCCTCTTGGTGTTGAATGTGAATTTAGAAAGAATGGATTTTATATGTATTTGAGAGTAAAAAGAAAAAAAATTATTGCTGCTACTGTCGTTTTTAAAAAAAATTATATTTAGAGATAGTTTTATTCCTCAAGTTGGATAATACATGGAATATTTTCGAAAAATTGAAAAAAGGTCGGTCGAGATACGACGGAGGTGGTGAAACTATTCTTTCTTCGGTATCTAATCTGACGAGATTAGATTTCTCGGTTGATTCGTTAAAATTCTTGGAAAAGATTGGAAACGAAACAAGATCGATTCGAAGAAACCGAGGATTTTGCCGGGGAAAGAAAGTTTGCCGGACAAACTCGGACTCAGAAAAAGAAGTATTCATTGCATTATCTGGAAACGATTAATGCGAGCCGCTTGTATCTATTAGCATAATTACCAAGAGACTGACTTTGTAAAATCGTGAAAGTGGAATATCGACATTTATCGGGATTACTGGCCGCTGATGAAGTTTCCGTTACACGTGAAAATCGGAAAGCTGATTTGCCGAATATCTACTGTCATCGAGACACTGGTGACATTTGATTACACGTGTAATTATCTTGTAATGAATGGTGACAACACGGCAGATATGTCATTATGACGGTTAACTTTATTTCACCGGCTAAACGTTCAACTTCTCGTTACAAAGATGTGAATTAAATGAAAGAAGATAATTCTTGGATGGAGGATTTATTTCGAATTATCTTTTAATTTCATGCAGATGAATCGATTCAATCGATCGAGATGTTGATTAGATATGGATAACTAGATCTATTCGTATTAAATAAATGATCAAGTGTAAGTTTATTGGCTCGTGTCGAACGAACGTGTATCTATATATTAGATCTAAAGTGGTTTCAAAAATATTTTTTTTCTGATAATGTGTTTTTATCTGAAATGCCAATCTCGCGGAGAACTCGTCGGAATTTAAAATTATTAAAAATCCAAAAATTTAAGGAACGAATAAAAGAAAATTAATTTTGAAAGAATAAAAAAAGAAATTTGAAAATTTGCACATATATACGGTCGATAATCGTTCACGTACATGTGCTGAAAAACGAGCACTAACACTAACACTATATAATCGAAACTATGATGAATAATCGTTATTCGATTTTGATCGAGATCCCACGCTGGTAGAAGCATGCGCCATTTTTCGATATCTAGTTGGTAAACTGGTCAACGTCTTTCATCGAGGATGGAAGGTAATAACAACTAAGCCCAGGACTTTGGGCCGCACGCTTGAGTGCGGTTTTAAAATTCCCCCCGGGGCAAGTCTCTATGGAACTCGTTGGTGGATCGTGGGAATCAATAAATTCCCCGTATCGAAAAACGCTGAGAGTACAATACGCGGAAAAATCGGCAAGCCGCGAATTTGCGCGAAATTACGATCCCTTTTCCCTCTTTCATCGTCCTCCCAATTTCAAATATTCCCGCGTGCCACGTTACCCGCCCATTTTTCTCGATCCCCTTCCCCTTTCATCTTTTATTCCATTACTAATTTTCCTCTTCCCTCGACTCATTTTCCCACTCGTTTTTTCCCTCCCCATCCCCCACATTTCTCCCCCCTCTCCCCCTCCCCCTCCCCTTTTCTAATTTCCATCT